TTGTAAATTAATGGGAATACATCTTTCATTAAAGATTTTAAAACAAGTAGATTAACCCTTTACAAAAGATCACCTATTATCCCGGGTTTTAGACAACAGGGAAAGTTTTTGTGCATTACTCTGAAAGAGTTTTGTAAACTACAAGTAATTCCTAAACAGTCTAATTGTTTAGTATGAAGCTTGGCGGTGCGGGATAGATGCCTACATCTATCCCTTCTTTTGCCTCGTCATCCAATATCACATTTATGCCCAAATCTCCCAAGGCATTCTCAGCAATCGGTTCCTTTACTAACTGGACTCCTTGAAACATATTGCCTCCAGGTATAAACATATCACATAGCAGTGGAAAAGTCATGGGCTCACACTTAATATACTCCCTGGCTATCCTTGTTCTCCTCATTTCTTGACTTTTATGAATACCTTTCAATTTTTCTTTCAAGGTCGATTGGTATCCCAGCCCAAAACAGTCTCTTTTGATGGTGGAAAAACTGGATTAACATATCCCTGTAGGCGACTCCTAAGCCATTTTCCTGCCTTGGCTCCCCTTCCCAAAGCCATCTTTAATTCCATTATGGTACAATTGGACAGTCTAGGCTTTGATATCTTCTTCCCCTCAGCCATGAATGTGGCATTAACAACTTCTTCCCCCACTTCAACATAAGGGGCAATAGTAGACATGGAAGCAATATTGTATTCCTCAACATTGATGCATACCAATTTTCCCTCAATTATGAATTTGAGTTTCTGATGTAGTTTGGATGGCACGGCCCTTGCCTGGTGGATCCAAGGCCTTCCCAATAGGCAATTGTATGTAGGCATGATATATGTTGCGTGTTGTGACTACTATAAAATTATACGTAAATAATGTGCAAGTATACACAATCGCTCAAGTAATAAAGTGATGAGCGATTATCGTCTCCACAGGGATTGGTGGAAATTACAAAGTTTAACCAAAGTAAAGAACTAATTTATCTAAGTATAGTTAGTGATGATACATACCAATGGAGAATGTCACGGCAATGAGAAATATATCTTGGTAGATATGGATTGATAGTATGATGTGGTAGTAGATGAAAATAAATTGGCAATAGCATATTATAATGTTGAAAATGATAGAAATGTCAAGACAATGAGAAATGGTAAGAACAATAAATAAATGATAGTTTGATAATCCTCACACAACAAGCTGCCTAGGGGAATGAATGGTAGGGATTGATTTAAGGATGGTAAAACTTATCTCTCAAGCAGATTTAATCTATCTCAGCTTCACTTGCTTGACGGAGTTGCTAAAAATGCTCCTGCTATCTCTAGTCAAAGGAACCTAATAGAATAGAATGCCACAACATCTCCTATTGGTCTCAACTATGGCAGCCTACGCTATTGATAAAAACTACCCCTCTTAGTCGTTGAAATCTTATCTTAGTCTCTCTCAAGCACTAAGGGATTAGGATATAATATTACTATATCGGGTTTAAACTTAAAAAAATACTAAACCCCATTATTTATGTGGATCTTACTTGTGTTTCTCTCGAATACTAAAAGTATTAATGACCAAGTTTCTCTCGAACACCTAGCCTTTATCTAAGTAACGGACACTCTCATGTCTCCTACAAACTTAGAAGATGAAGCATTCATAAGAAAAACAAGTAAATACAAAAAATAAATTTAAATCCACCATTAAAACAAAATCAAACATCCATAAAATTAACCCCACCAAATAAGGTTAGTTCATGATGGGGTTTGAATCATCCATGAAACAAAACATGAAATTCATTCGTTCCAACAACCCAATATCAAATGAAAAATAACAACAAAGGGAAAGGGGTAAGAAGCCTTTGACGCACATAATCGGAGCTCTCCTCGACCACCACAACTCGCCTTAGCTTACTAGCTCCTCTCGGGCGCCTAGCTCGCCACTCCTTGGATCTCGTTAATGGAGGAACACCACTAAGAGAATGGAAGGAATGATACGGTGGAGAAAGTGAAGAAAATCTAGTTGAAAATGGTGAGTGCGTAACCTCTTTTCTCTCTCATGTGAGGTATATTAAATAATAAAAAATATCCAAAGGTATTAATGGGATTTAACACTCCAAATACCCATCATACCCCTAGAGTCACTCCTTAGGCGTGAGTTTTATCCTCCCAGGTGGTAGTGGTCCTCAGCAGGTGGTTATAACCATCAGATGTGCCTTTCCAGCTTTCATTTTATAAAAAATATTTGTTTGTCTTTTTCAATGCAATAAATGCCAAGTCATTTCTATATGCTTCAGTAACATGCGATGTCACAACATTCCTTCCCAGTTCAACCTTTTACTTGTTATTTCTTGCACAACATAAACAGCCACACATTTCCCTCATACAACACCTTTATAAGATAAAATAGCACAACCACCACTAATGCAACTATGTGCATCTAAAATGACCTAAATGGGCTTTTAAACAAACAATAAATTAAGTGAAAAGGTCCTTAAAGTAGCCTTTTTAGGGAGTTATCACACCTCCAAACTTAAGCTATTGCTTGTCCTCAAGCAATAGATAACATTTAACATAAACATAATGTCATGGCAATGTTCAATAGCAAGACATTCAAGAAAAATATAGTATTTCAACCTCATAAAAATTATTCTTCAACATATTGGACATATCACGAATTCAAGTACTTTTCTCTAAGTCAAAAGTCTTTGCGGTAGTGTGTATGTGTAATTTTATCCAATCCATACTTAAAAAATTAAACAATTTCTAATCAAGTCCCTTAGTTTTGTCCCATCATTTACTCTTTCATTAAGCACATTTATACTCCCTTTTTACTTAATAAATTATTATTATTATTATTATTATTATTATTATTATTATTATTATTATTATTATTATTATTATTATTATTATTATTATGTTGCTACGAGGAGATTCATCCCATCACACCTACCTTTCTACACTCTAGGTGAAAGGGAGCATACCTTCCACCCCCAAGCTAGTTAGGTAGAGTCATTTCATGACTACTTTCATTCACTCATATTCATTTAGCTGCCATTTATTCAAGGAAGTTCCAGGCAATGCCACAACAAAGAGGAGTAGCCCTATACAGCTATGTCGAAGCATTTATTCATAATTTCATATAGAAAGGAGTTCTCATTGAATTATTATTTAAGCACCATACCAAATTTCAATGCCAAGACTAACCAAAGTTCCTTCATAAAAATTTCTTAAATTTCCTAAGTATAGAAAACATACGAATTGTGTAAGAGTAATTCACCAAGAATGAAGCTCTAGAGACAGTTATATCATTCCCAATAGTCATTTACATTCAATTTATAGCCTAAAAGTTCATCATCATTGGGTATCACCAAAACATCTTTTCTAACTATCTTACCAATTATTGATTCCATGGCATAACATTATACTAATACTATCATGCACATGTTCTACAAAGAACACTACCTCCCCCAAACTTAATGGAAGCATTATCTTCAATACTTAAAGATAACTAACTAAGAAACAAAACTACATGCCATGCAATGGAATGTAAAATGAATGAAAATAGAGGTAACTCATTTTTTTCGGTGGTGGTGTTACAGTGGATGTGCTAGCAGCTCCTTGCCTTGTACGCTTGCGAAGTGGTGTAGGGATGGAATCAGAAGATATGGTCTAGCCAATGTCTTTATATGATGACTGCTACATCGAGTGGGAGAAGGTTCAGGTGTAGGAATAAGACTAGGGGTTTTCTCAGCTGGTACCATAGGTGAGTCTGGAGTCAGGGATCGGGGAGGGTCTGGAATCGGTTCATCAACGGGGGGGATCAGCTTCATCTTGTTCTGAAGATGCCTCGGTATTGAATGCCGATAGAATTTTATTTGGAAAACCTGGGAAATTCTGTTGCACGTGGGGAAGCATTTCCTGAAACAAAGTTTCCACCGCAACACCTCTTTGTTTCACATAGCCAAAGAAATTTCTCATATCGCCGTGTAGAGCATGCAAATAAGTCTGTGTCTGCTAGATAGTTTCTTCAAGAGCAAGCAGTCTTACCTTAGCATTAGAAGGTTTGTTATCCCCAGAATTTTCATTAGTAGTTACCTTAGACTTAGGGTTATCCAAACCGAACAGCAATGGAAACTGGGCTCTTGTTATGCCCGAGACACCAGATAAAACTTCATCAAAATTACTCTCACTAACTTTTTCCTTGCAACATAATGTTGTAATAAGATTAGGAAAGACCAACGCACTAGATTTCTTACTTAAGCAATCATGCACTTGTTCAACAATTATCTTACCCACATCAATAATACGCGTAACCATAATAGAGTGTAAAAGCATTAATCATGGGATGGTTACCATTGTGTTATGGGCAGTCGGCATGAGCTTATGCTTCATGAAATGGTTCCATAATTTTTCTCTTGGTTGAAGAAGTTCCCTATTAATGGAGTAACGACTGGTTTGTCGACCATTCCAAGAGGTATTCAAAAAACACAAATCCTCCAAAACTCCATCATAAGTTGCACTGTTGGCATCTCTCTCAAACTTTGCATGTTAATCTTCAACACCATGCAAATGAAAATACCAATTAATGGTAGACAATTTAAAACGAATGTATTTACCACAGACAAAATGGAATGTTGATTTGGCTTGAAAATATTGGCATAAAACTCCTTCACTAAAGAAGCATAACGGGACTGGGTGTCTCGCAAACTTGTACCATTTTAATGGCTCAACAATGTCCATCACATATGGCCCAAAGCCACCATCTTGCTCATCAGTGAAAATAAACCCCAACTCAAAGAAAAACTTACAGTTTTTGGAATTTTGAAATCGCGTATTTGCTTCATTGTTTTCGAACTATTGAAAAATAGGATCTTCTGCCACTGTAGGTCTCGTACGCAACATTTTTGTAGCATTTTGAAGAAACAAAAGTGAAAAAGGAGTGAGCTTTGTGTGCTTGAAAATTTTTGGCTATGGAGGAAAATAAAGGAAGAAGAAAATGTAAGAAAATTAAAGAAAATAATGAGAAAGATTGAGTGAGTGGACGGTTGAAAAGAAATGAGTGGATGAGGTAAATGGGTAGGTGGGAAAAAGAAAAAGTAAACTGTAAAATTAAATGTGATGTGAAAAGAAAATGAAGAGATAAGTAAAAATAAGGAAATAAAATAAAAGAAAGGAATAAAGTAAAAAGAATATTTTCCCCTTTAATTGCTTTGTTTTTCCTCCCTTATAACCACTCCACATACGAATTCAGTACTGTGGGTTCCCTATAAAACAAAACATCATTATAATTGTTCAGAAAAAAGAACTAAAAATAAAAAAAATGACAATAGATAAATTCATTGTTTATGCACAATCAATGGAATTCAATGCCATGGCTTTGAAATTTGGTTTTCAGTTGGGCACACTCAAGCATCATCCAGGTGCATCACTACTTTGTCGCACAGAGGTGGAACTCTATTGTAGCACAGAGGTGGAACTCTATTGTAAGCTTTCAAATGCTGGCAGTTGACTTTGAAAATTGTCTCATCATCTATGTTCTTGATGTCAACAGCTCCATGGGAATAAACAATGTGTACTTCAAATGGCCCTGACCATCGAGATTTAAGCTTCCCAGGGAAAAGTTTAAGTCTGGAATTGTAAAGTAGCACTTTTTGGCCAAAATGAAAATTCCTTGGCATCAATTTTTGGTCGTGCCACTTCTTGTATTTTCCTTGTATATTCACACATTTTCATATGCTTGTATCCTAAACTCTTCCATTTCATTAAGTTTCAGTAGTCTTTGTTCCCCAGCTAACTGAGCATCAAAATTCAATCGCTTAATGGCCTAGTACACCTTATGTTCGAGCTCAACGGGAAATGACAGACTTTCCCATACACCAGCTTGAATGGTGACATGCCCAGAAAAGTTTTGAATGATACTCTATACATCCAGAGTTCCTCATCTAACTTTGGTGACAAATCATTCGACCTTGGATTCACCACTTTTTCTAAAATCTGCTTGATCTCGCGGTTGGATATCTCAGCTTGACCATTTGTCTATGAATGATATACCGTGGCAATCTTATGGTGAGCTCCATATCTCTTTAGTGCCTTGGATATCAACTTGTTATCGAAGTGGGTTCCCTCATCACTAATGATAGTTCCAGGTACTCCAAACCGAGTGAAGATATTCTTGTGCTAAAACTTGAGTACAATTTTAGAGTCATTCCTTGATGTTGTTATTGCTTCCACCCACTTGGATACATAATCCACAACAAGCAAGATGTATAGATCACCTCCAGAAGATGGGAATGGTCTCATGAAATCGATGCCCCAAACATCAAAAACTCTATTTCCTAAATATCTTGCAGTGGAATTTCATGTCGCCCGGATATGTTTCCAGTGCGTTGGCATTGATCACAAGATTTGTAAAATACTTGAGCGTCTCTGAACAGAGTTGGCCAATAAAATCCTTATTGAATGACCTTGGCAGTAGTCTTTGCTCCTCCAAAATGGCCTCCACTTGGGGTCGTGTGACAATGGTATAAACTATTGCGTTGCTCCTCTTTAGGTACACATCATCTAATGAGTTGGTCAGCACAATGCTTGAATAAATATTGTTCGTTCCAACAATAATACCTTGCATCGTTCTTGAATTCCTTTTTTCCCAGACTTTTCAAATCAAAAGGCAGTATCCTACTAACAAGAAAATTAATAAGGTCAGCGTACCACAGGAGAGTTGGCCAATAAAAGCCTGATTGAAGGACCTTGGCAGTAGTCCTTGCTCCTCCAAAATGGCCTCCACTTGGGGTCGTGTGACAATGGTATAAAATATTGCGTTGCTCCTCTTCAGGTACACATCATCTAATGAGTTGGTCAGCACAATGCTTGAAGAAATATTGTCCGTTCTAACAATAATACCTTGCATCGTGCTTGAATTTATTTTTTCCCATGCTTTTCAAATCAAAAGGCAGTATCCTACTAACAAGAAAATTAAAAAGGTCAGCGTACCACGGGATTATTGTGGCATATAAAATTTTCTCATCAGGAAATTCCTCTTGAATATCTACAGTTTCATGGCATTCAAAATTGTTCTTTGGCCTAGATAAATGGTCAATAACTTGGTTTTCAGTACCTTTTCTATCTACAACCTCTAAGTAGAATTATTGCAAAAGTAAGATCCACCTAATAAGTCTAGACTTTGCATCATTTTTGTTCACTAAGTATTTTATAGCCGAGTGATCAGTGGGAACAATGAATTTAGTGTCTATTAGGTATGGTCTAAATTTATCAAAAATAAATACCACGTCAAGTAATTCTTTCTCAGTGGTGGTGTAGTTCAATTGTGCTTAATTCAAGGTACACTAGCATAATATATAACATGAAAAGGTTTACCTCAGTGTTGCCCCAAACAACTCCTATGGCATAATCGCTTGCATCACACATTAGCTTAAATAGTAATGTCCAATCAGGAGGAACTACAATAGGCACTGAGATCAATCATTGCTTCAGCTCAGTGAATGCACCGAGGAATAACTCGTCAAACACAGAGGGTTGGTTTTGTTGAAGCAAAGTGCATAAGGGCTTAGAGATTTTTTAGAAGTATTTGATGAATCTTCTATAAAAGCCAGTGTGTCCAAGAAAACTCCTTATGTTCTTGACAGAAATTGATGGTGGAAATTTTTCAATCACTTCAATTTTTGCTTTATTACCTCAATGCTCTTGTGAGATATCTTGTGCCATAATACAATGCCTTCAGTCGCCATGAAGTTATATTTCTCCTAATTTAAAACCAAATCAACCTCCTCGTATCTTTTGAGAACTTTTACCAAATTACCGAGGCATCGCTCAAAATCGTCTCCAAAAATAGAGAAGTCATCCATGAATATCTTAAGGAATTCCTCAACCATATCAGAAAAAATAGTTTGCATACAACGCTGAAAATTTGTCAGTGCATTACAGAGTCCAAAAGGCATCTTTCTAAAAGAAAAAGTGTCATATGGACAAGTGAATGTAGTTTTCTCCTGGTCCTCTAGTGAAATGGCAATTTGATTGTACCCAGAATACCATCTAAAAAGCAATAGAATTCTTTTCCTGCCAATCTATATAACATTTGGTCAATGAAGGGTAGAGGAAAATGGTTATTCTTTGTAGCTTTGTTGAGCTTATGATAGTCCATACATATCCTCCAGCCAGTGATAGTGCGAGTGGGTAATAGCTCATTATCCTTATTTGTAACCACAGTCGTGCCACCTTTCTTTGGTACACATTGGATAGGGCTCACCCATGAGCTATTTGATATACGGTAAATCACTCCAGCATCAAGATATTTTAGAATTTCTTTCATTATAACTTTCTTCATAACAGGGTTGAGTCTTCATTGTAGTTCTATCGAATTGTCGTGGCATTCTTCTAGCAAGATCTTCTGGATGCATAATGTAGGACTAATTCCCTTCAAATCAGCCATAGTCCAACCAAGTGTTTTGTTATGCTGCATCAAAATACTTAACAAACTTTTCTCTTGGTTAGTAGTAAGGTTAGAGGAAATAATCATATGTAAAGTGTTTTCGCTACCCAAGTAAACATATTTATGATGCCCTGGCAAGGGTTTAAGATCTAGGGTATGTTCATGCAATAACGATGGCTTAGGAGGAATAAATTAATCAAAAATCAGGGGTTCAAAATTCATACCTAATCTAGCTAGTAGTAAACTAGATTTTTCCACCCCAATTGGCAATTTGTCATAGTCCTCTAAGCTTTCATCATCAATTGAATATTCCTTATCTGCTAACTGAAAAAAAAATTATTCTGGCAAAGATGTTTGGTTTCTTCTACAATTAATGAGTTCAATTCAGACATGCCTTGGCATTCTTCATGGTCATCAACATACTTGAGAGTACAAAACACATTGATTGACCACTCTCATGGTGAGTTCACCTTTTTAACAATCTATCAAAATACAACCAGTGGCGAAGAAAGGTCTACCCAAAATGATGGGTGTCTTGGCATCAACTTCATAGTCAAGAATAAAGAAGTCAACTGGAAACACAAATTTATCCACCCTTACTATGACATCCTCAACTGTCCCTTCAGGTCTAACATAGGATCGGTCGGCAAGTTATAAAATAACTGAGGTGGGTCCTGCATCTCCTATTTCAAGCTTTAATAATATAGATTTTGGCATTAAGTTCACACTTGAACCAAGATTACATAGTTCATTTCCAACAAAATTAGCTCCTATAGAACAGGGAATAATGAAGTTAGATCATTCTGCTTTGGTGGCAACTTACTCAATGAAGAACAAAATTCTGTTGTCGTGGCAACTGTCTCATACTTCTCCATTTTCTTTTCTTGGTGCAAATTTCCTTAAGAAATTTGACATATGTCGGTATCTTTTCAATAGCTTTCAAGAGAGGTACGTTGATATGAAGATGATCAAGAATGTCCACAAACTTCTTGAACTGAACTTCATGGTTATGCTTCTTCAATCTTTGCGGGAAGGGTGGTGAGGTCTAGTTTCCTTAACTACAGGAGTAGGAATTGCTTTCGCCATGGCATCAGAATTTTGTACCTCGACAGGCTTATTAGTATAATTGTCCTCCTTGTCCTTCTTGGCAATGATATCATCGTGTAATTCAGCTTCAACCGATTCGGCAATGGGGGTAAAATTATCATGTTATGCCCCCCAACTTTGACTTGTTGGTTAATTTTTGTTCCACTCTTAAGAGTTAACACATTGCAATGTTCTTTTGCATGTGTTTTAGTGACTTCAGTGTCACTTGGCAAATGTCCTTGCTGACCTCTTGCAATGCCACAACAATTTGAACCTCTAAAGCTTTTAAAGATGAAATATGGCTTTGAAGTAATGTGCCTTGACTATGAAGTAAAGCTCATTGATTCTTAATTGAAGTAGAATGGTCCTGCAGCATTGTCTTCGTGGTAGTTATGAAATCTTGAATTGAAGCTTCCAAAGAACTAATGCTAGCTGAATATGAGGCTCCTTTGTTGTTATTATGTCATTGCATAGCATTTTGGTAGCCTTGAGATTCAGTGT